CTGGATCACCACCCAGCACCACAAGCGGATGAGCTTGGAATGCTTCTGCAGATTGAGTTCCATTATCCCAAACGCTCCAAAGTAAAATAAAATAAAATAAAATGTTTTGGCCTCAAATGTCTGCTCTTCACCCTCTTCCTCAACCATCAAGCCGCCGATTCATGTCGTGAAAAATCAAGCAACCTCCCAGTAACCATCGGAGTGCATTCTGGCTCTTCTTCAAGGCTGAAGATGAGTAGGATTTATTTATTCTTTTTCTGGGAATGCGGGTCTGTGGTGGACGACTTGAATATCTTGATCCCATCACTGGCACTCTCAAACAAGCTCAGAAATGCACGAGGGATATTCTATGCTTACGGGAAGTCATCCAGTGCTTCATGCGCTCCACTGATCATCCGTGATTATTTCCGGTACCTCAGGATTATCAACACCAGGATTATCCTGAGACACACACCAGTTCTCTGGGTACACGGCTCGAGTCATAGAGCCAGTACTCTGAATCAATGGTTAGTCTGAGCCTTCTAGAGCCCGACAGACTCGCCGTCGCCTCATTGTCTTGAAAATTAATACCTGGCAGGGAACTGAGAAGACGTGCTTTGCTACGGGACTCGAACCGACTCGTGTCGTCCGAGCCGATCGAGCCGCAGGGTTACATCAAAGGAGTCATTTGACCAGTGGACTACGATTCATCTTGCTTGGCCTGTTGTGATACTCGCGCCATCATAATCGAGGTTTACTGGAGCCCTGCCCGTTGAATTTCATTTCGGTTCACCGAGCTCGAGGTAAGGAATCTTATATTTCAAGCAGTGACATTGTTCTTATACTTTTTCGCAGTTTTACTTCAATCCCACCCAGTTGACCAGTGCTATGCGCCCCAGTAGCGTGGTGGGGATTATAAGTGCGTCGTATTGTACCTCTGTTCTTTGCGTAAATTTCTGACCAATCCTCGCAGCTCTCGACACTCCAGCTTCCAACGAAGCCTCCATCCCGCTCGAAACTCGCGGGCCAGGTCATAAACTGCTCTCGAAAATGAAATCAGTGCGTCGTATTGTACCTCTGTTCTTTGCGTAAATTTCTGACCAATCTTCGCAGCTCTCGACACTCTAGCTTCCAGCTCGCGGGCCAGGTCAAGGGCTCATAAACTGCTCTCGCAAATGAAATCAAGCATTACCGTGCATCCCATTGTCCCAGACTCACCAACCCAATAATTATCTCTCAATTTCGAACGCAGTTCTGACCTTTGGATTTCTTTAATTGGATGTCGAACCCAGTCCTGGAAGTAACGCAACTCCCTCGTTAAGGTTCAAGCCCGATCGCAAGATGTCCCTTCGATTCGGATCTGTACGTAGGTATTCGCTCGTCCTTGAATTACTTATGCCAAGTTCCTCGCAATTCATTACTTGCAGCTTCGTGTCCATCGAATGGTATTCCCTCTGTTCCTCCTCGACCTTCGCCAACTTATACCACCCTGCAGTCGTCCAATTGTTTCCGCGTCGGATCAAGTTAAGCAGCTGTTTATGTGCACGCCTATGCTTCAATCCGTTCGAATCTAATGACCGGCCGCCTTCAATTATACCTCGGGTTTTCTACAATAATATACTTCCATCGCGCTGCCAGTTTCCGCAGGTTCCCGTACATTGCTGTAGCGACCCTCGATTATCGGACCGTTCCCCAGTTCCTACAGCTAACTGACCGGTTTCTTCAGTCTCGGACATTCCCCCGAACGACGCCTGCGTAGCGCAGTGCCATTCCTCCGCGCCTCAAACCCCGCGTGTTGTTGACCCAGTCGTCCCTTGCTCTGCGCGCTGACTCGCCGCTGACAGCGGATCTCACGGTGTAGCATACTCCCCCGGCAATTCAGGTAGCCCCGCTCAACCGTTCTGATATCCCGCAACTATAGCCCCAGCGTTTATTCATCCACCCTCGGATTTGACAGCCACCCCCGACTCGGCTTCACTGACAGTGGCATTGGAGCGCGCATTCGGTACTTAATAATACGGCCGCTCACCCGGATACCAATAGAGGCTCGGAACCATTAGACGCTGCCCGCACTCGCGCTGTCGCGATCCCGACTCGAGAGTGCTCGGTAAAGCTCTCATCTCGCATGCTAACAATTCGTCGATTGATCGATGCACGCAGACCTCAATATAACTCGGATTTCGGACTCGGACTCGGGCACGGCGGCGGCGGCAAACGGATGTATTGGAGGTGCGTACGTACACGTGCAGCAGTACTACGGGCGGGCCAACGGACGCGAGCGCACGACTCGGACCGCGTGGCGTTGCCGGAGCCGAGTACGGACATGGACGCGCGGACGCGACACATGTCTGTGCAGCGCTGGGGTCGGGGCAGCGCAGCGCCGGCGGAGGAGAAGTACGTACCTTCTCCCACACTGCAGCGCCGCGGACGGGCGGTCGGGTTGCGAAGGCGGCTGCACATGCACACCCCCGGGCTGCGTTGAATGTGTATCTGCACGCACGCGGAGCGGGCGGGGACGTAGAGCAAGTAACGGAGAACGCAGAAAGTAGAGGAAAGCACGCACTCACAACAGCACGGGTTATACGTCTCCCCGCCGTCGTCGCTCGTGGAGCCGAGCGCATTGTCGCGGGCGATGTGCTCGGGGTGGAGCTTGATGAAGTCTGTGTGCGCAGGTGCGGGGTGTCACTGTCAGCACGCGGTGCGAAGACGGGGAGCGAAGGATAGCCACATGCACCCTGCAGTGGAAGGGCTCGATGCGCTACGCCCCCGTCAGCCGTCCATCCTCATCCAAAGCGGGGCATGAATGCGCACTGGGGACCCGGGGGCGGCCCGTGTGCGCCCTGCGGCGCGAAGCTGCCGGGGTGCCCGCCGCCGCCGTACGGGGGCGCGCCATACGCCCCGCGGCGGCGCCGTACCCGCCGCCTAGTAATCGCAATCGCTCGTCAGATCGAGGGCTATCGGGAGGGGGACTTGGGAGGGATACACCGGGAGGCCCGCCGGCGGGGGGGGCGTAGCCGTGCTGCTGCGGCGGGGGGCGCGGCCTGGGGGGGCGCCGTATTGCTGGTGCTGCGCCACGAAGACAAAGACGAAGACACGTCAGTGGGGCTGCGATGCTTTCGGGAGGATGAGGAAGGAGGGCGTACACCGTGGGACATGTTTCGTTCGTTGGTTCGTTCGTTCGAGGTAGAGATGAAGGTGGTGGAGAACAAGGAAGGACTCGGAAGGAAGCGAGAACGGACGGGGATATACGCCGGAAGCGATGGTGTGCACTGCCGACACTGATTGATGGGGGCTGTGCCGCAGGTAGGTAGGTAGGTAGGTAGCATTACACGGCACGGTCCAACTCATGAACCCGGTTCCAGGGATTCCCCCGGTGTACAAGCACTATATACACCATCGCCCCTGGGCCTCTCAGAATTCCTCCGGACGAGCTCACGGTCGCAGGTTTCGGTCGAAACGTCCAGCTCGCCGCCGTAGATCGAAAGGAACGCTGAAAAACGAAAGAAATTAGCACATCAAACTCGGGGACATACTCCAGACACAATCAAAAGATGGCAGTGGTGTAAACCACTCGAGGGACAATACCCGCATGTACATGATGCGATGTATGATAACAGAGAAGAATAAAGACTTCCACACCAACAATCATCGGTGTATCGAGCACATGGAGCCAGTAGCATCTCAAGAGTCCCGATTCATCACCATTGATGGATCATGTGCGCAGGAAGTATTTTGTGTTCGTCTGTTGTCCTTCGGAGTTCACAAGGGTTTGCACGACAATTGAGGTGTCGACCAAGTCAATATCACCTGAAACCATTCCAGTGGAACGGTGCACTCGAGGCAGCCTTGAGTTGATTTTTGGTTGCAAAACTTGGCTCACATAGAAATGTTCAAGTGAACTTTGTGAGCACAAGTAAAGCCAAGAATACACATGAGGTAGCTAAAATCGAGGACAAGGTGTCGACTCAAGAGAGATGTTATCCCAGTTTCCGTGGATAAGGGAGGAACCATGGAGCAGTGGAAGTGGAGAATTGAGCATTTGAGGCAGCAAATTTAACCTGCACCTTAGCTTCATTTTTCTGCATCATGGCTCCATGCAAACAGGTAGTGCATGGTATTGTGGTAAGGATAACGAGTTTATAAGAACACTCATAAGCGACGAGGTAGGCCGATGATTTTCCAGAGTCGGCAGGTGGCCGAAGTTCGGATCAATATGACGTAGCTAGCATGATAGATCGAGACCGGCGCAAAAATAGAAGAGGGGGCGGCGACGGCGGCGCAACTCAGAAAAATGTGCACTAGAGGATGTGTAGATCGAAGCAACTATATCATGCATTGCAGCATGCAGTGGAATGGGGCTTGGGGAGTAGAAATGAGCTGGATGCTTGACAATTGAGATGGATGTAGTTTTTTTATTTGTTTCTTTTTTTCCCATTCATGCATCTACGGAAGGGGCTCGATGTAGAGGCCTCAGGACTACTGCGCGGCACATTGGGCGGGGCAGAGTGAACTGGGCATGCAAACGGCAGACTTCGGCTTTTTGATGATGGTGGTAAAAGGAGGAGTTTTTAACTTAGAAGACGCAATCTCGGCAGCGTTCCTGCGCAAGGCATTGCTTTCACTACACGATGGAGCTCAGGAGTGAACAATCAATTAATTTTTCCGAATTCAAGGGAAATTCACCGAGATGATGCAGCGTTTTCACATTGGGACCCTGGATGTGGTTATTCGAACTTGAAAGAAGTGGGAAGATGATGAAATTCCGGAGGGAATTATGTTCTGGCAGGTACGCTGACAGTCAGAATTACGCATCAGGTCGCTTTTCAACGACTTATGATAGCCCTTTCCCGGGCCATCTGAGACACCTGAATAGTACCAGCAACTGCAGTCCTCGAGGGCCTTCTTACTCCGGGAGTGCAGGACGCGCATCCCAGCTCGCACCAAGAGTCCTGCCTTCCACACAAAACCACCCAAGTTCCCAAGTTCCCGAAAAAAGAGAACCGCAAAATGAACAAACCAAATGACCTGACCCCGAATCGAACGGGGACGTCCTGCCGTAGTTATACCGCGGATGCACTGTATAGTACGCAGGCACACTACCCATTGTGTTATCAGGCCGTTCACTGCTCTCTCTACTGTTATCTCACTCATGCGGTACACTCCACTCAGATAAGTCAACCAAATGTAAAAAGTTTCCAGAGTACTATTTTCGACCGGGAAACCGGCCACCTTAGCATTGTTGGCTGGTTCTCGAGAATCACACCGACTCTATACAAGCCATAGTTTGTTAGAACGAAGGTGGGCATCCGAGGTGTTATGCAGTCCAATGTTTCAACGTTAGCAATCGGTTGCCCTTTTTGGGTTCCGGACTTCCGAAAAGGGTAACTCCGGCCCCGCCGGGCCCGAAAATTGCCTAGAATGGTCGAAGAAAAGGTGAGCTTTGGGGCGCTACGCGCAGATTTTTTTTGGCCCCTGTTACGTACGGTTGCTACTATATGCACTCACGTGCAGTATTGGTACTTTTGATGTAGACTTGTAACCAGTCTGCCTACAACTGGCAAAAATGTGGCAAGCACTTTAGGCTACTATTCGGAGCTGTCAATCGAGACGGGCGGAGTTTAATGGTGTCCACCCTGTGCCCAATTCAATTGTATTATCCCAGATTCAAAGGGATAGTATGAGCCAATTGCACCTGCCTTGAATTCTGTCTCCTCAGATCTTTTTTTGCAGCTATGTGGGCGGCCCATGTAATGGACCTGATGGTGCATCGAAATTGATGGCAAGGCTCAGCAGCTGTGATGCGGTGATCGGCACCGCCTAAAAAGTTCAAAATCAGGCCCGTCTCAATTGACAGTTCCGAATAGTACCAGTCTAAAGTGCTTGCCACATTCTTGCCACTCGTAGGCAGACTGGTCACGAGTCTACTTTCGATACGTCCGGGACGTAGATTGAAGCCCGGAGGTTTCATCACTGGCAGGCTATCCTGCTCACATAAAGGTAGAGCTGAAATCCATGCATGTGTTGCAGAGATATTGAAGGATAATCTAAAGGACTCGAGCGATTTAAACTGACCAATGGGAGAAACTTAATGATCTCACCACTCTTTGAACATCTTGGGAAGATCTTTGAAGATCTTTGTCCGTCCATCCCCAGTGCCAGAAACACAACTGTATTTTTTTGGTTCAAATCGACAGAGGGTGTGGTACATAACCGTTTGAACCAAATTCGACAATTGATGAGGCCGTGAAATTACTAGTACTGCGACCAACCGCAAAATTTCGACAAACCCGGAAATAGCACGGGACGAATTCGACCACCGGCTCGGTGACGGATGGAACTGGGCAAAATTCGTCGCCGACACCCCCGTGAGGCGTGACTGTCGATTTGAACGGAAAACTTCCAACTGGCGAACATGATCTCAGGAACTTTGCTTGCTATTGGCTCGGTTTCAAAGTCAAATCAAGATTTTTCGTCTGTCTCCTACGATAGATCTAGCTCGTGTTCCCACCACCGTAGCATGAAGCACTTGCTAATAAATAAGACCAGACACAACTTTTCCAGACAAACAATATCGGCATCATGCCTAACAGACTCATCAGGTTCGGATTTTAAGAAAAGGTGGTCTTGTCGTTTCGGTTCCTCTGTGGGCTTTAAGCAACCAACATGAATAAAACCGCATTGGACTCACCCCCATAGTCTTCATTTCCATATCACTTGACTCGGTGCTCTGGGAAAATACCTCCTTGTTTATCACCACCACTGGCACTGGCCCGCGCGCATGGCCCAACCTCTGGCCGCCGTCACGCACATGGGCTCCGGTGGACATGGCACCCGTGTTGCCGCTGTCAATGATTCCGGTAGACGCCGACCGCCCACCCGTGATTTCGAACCGTGCGTTGAGTACCACAAGAATCGTGTTTGCATAGAGCTTGGGCATTATTAAAGCCGGAGTCGCGTAGAACGATTGCCCCGGGTATGCGAAGAAGAGCATGAGGTTTGCGAGGGCAACGAGCGCTGTATAATCTTCAGTGACTAAAAGAAACCGAACAGGTGGCTCACCAGTAATAGAGCCGGTCTCGATCGTTAAGCGGACTAGCCTAGAGATGAGCACTCGTGTCTGGCGGAAGCTAGTGTTGTGACGCGTAAGCTTCAAGCTGAACGTGAGAAAATGCAGAAAGAGGAAGGAGTGGAACACACGAAATATGTCATGGAGATGGCGATGAGGATGTCACTGAGTGCGGATGCGCCGCACCAGACCTGCAATCGGGGATTAGCGCTGGGAACGGGAGTAAATGTGCACTAGACGCACACCGACGGCCGTAGAGGTGCGGCGGTTGTTCAGGAGTGTGACGTTCCCGGCTGGTACGCTCGTGAGTAGTGAGGGACGGGACAGAACTGGAAGCACCTTCGAAGCTGTAGACACCGGTGATGATACCTCCAACGGTGCTCGTCAGGGAAATCTATTTGCCTAGTGTCAGACATGGTAGGAGGGCAGGAAGTGGCAGAGGCGACCTACACACACAATCAGTCCAGGGAGGATCCAACGCTTTGACAGAACATGAATGCGGAAAGCGTAAAACGACTGTCCGATGAATGCCGCTATCAAGAAGTAAAGACATCAGCAAAGATATGGGTGAGGGTTCTGGCCTACTTATGCCGCTCATGATGGGAACAGTTAACCAGTTGAAGTACATGGTAGTCAGGGCCTCGACATTCCCAAACCCATACGCGAACATCGCAAACCCGTCGTGAGTCACGAGCATCGTCTGCACGATCTCGATGGAACAGACTCCATACACCAAATACTTGTTGGCGGCCCGGTCATTCGGAAATGCTTCATAGTACAAGTCTGCATGGCATTAATTACCCTCAGAATCACGAGGGGAAGACAATACCCACATAATTGAATGCAAAGGGTGCCGAAGAGCCCCCAGTGGAGGAAGTATGCCAGCAACTACATGCAGGGGTCAAACCGATATAGGCAGAGGTGGGCAGAATGCACACTAGAGGACCGGCCCTAACGTGATGTCAGTAGAGGGAAGGAAAATGTATCTGGAGTAAAGAGATAGAGACACACAATTTCGCGATATTGAAACCGGGAGGAAGGGCCGAAAGGGGAATCGGCATGGTGTGTGGAGGCAGGTGGATGAAGGCAAGGGAGTTGAAACACAGAGACTACTTGGCCGCACTCAAGTTTTATGATCCACCATTGTGCCACCTTCATGTGCCAGAAGAAATCTGGTCCTAATTTGCAGTAGGCTGTATATAACGCCGTAAGATCCCTCCTGGGTGTAGTGCCAGCACAGTATCATCCGCAGTAGTGCGACAGATCGTAGACGGGCCGGATAATCTTGCAATCAGATGGAATCTCGTGGAAGGGAATTCATCAGCCGGATGCATATGGCTCAGAGGGCAATGAAGGCAATGCAAGGAGATCCGTTGGCAACGCGTATTCATCAGCAAAACTGCAGAAACATCTTTGACATCGTTCACGTCTTGTCAAAGACGTGCGAGATGTCAAAGATGAATTTCCCGCCAAGACGTCACATCTTGGCAATGCAGATTCAAAATTTTTGATAGTTGCGTGATCTTGCCAAAGACTCCAGAGACGGCGGGGTTCTTTCAGAAGTATCCCAGGTGCTTGCTTGAAGTATGATGCTCAAGATCACGATAGTGGTAGAAGACAGGCAATATATTGATTAAAAATACGAAATACATCTATTTGGGGTGAATCGTACTGGGCTCTCACCTCGCGGCGCGGCGGCAGTCGGATACGGACATGATTAAGCTGAAAGCATATCAGCGCTTCAGCTCGTGACGCTGTTTTCGAAACAAAATGGGAGCACACCATGGACATCGGCCGCGAGAACAAAATTGTCGTCCTCGTCGGATTTCCACCATGCTCGCATCCATGGACGAGCTGCGACTGAAACCGAAGTTTTTCTTCTTTTCGACTCACACACTGGGGGCAAGTGCCGTGGGCGTGGGCTCATGGCGGATGACCGGCACTTATTATGACACTTGCCACGGCACTGACTCATGGTGAACAAAGAGAACAAAGGTTGGAACTTTGGCCCGACATCCAATCACATCAAGTCTCGGTGATGGCCGCAGTCCTGCTGAAACCTAGATGTCATTGCACAATCATCGAGAAACACTGTTGGACTGTAGGTAAGTAAACCAAGAATGCTAAGTACACACCGTTGCATTTCATCATAAACTGTTCATCTCCGTAAGTGAGCCAACATTGAACTGCTCCATTGCGAACAGCACAGGTTGGGGGAAGTGCGGGAAGGTGAGAAGACTTGGGGTTGTCGTAGATATTTTTGGAGGTATTTCAAGATTTAGGAGGTGGCATTCTCTGTATTAACTAACCTGCAGTATCAATCCAGTCGTCTGTCCATGAGGGTTTGCGGAATTTGGCCTGCAATACATCTTTAGCTGCCGCTTGCAGGTTTGCTGGTGAAACGCAGCTGTGCGGATTGCAGGTGGATGAGGCAGAGATTACTTAAACTATTGGAGCCTGCGGTAGCTCGATCCAGTTGGTTCCCAAGCTTGCAAGTACTGGCTTCAGAAATGATAGTAGCGTGGAAAAGGGCTTTGCTCAATTTGTGGCAATCAATAATAGTAGCATGTTGTTGGATGGATGTATTCTGAACACATATACAATGCATCCGGAATTGTTGAATTTCCTCTGGCAATACATAAGTACACAAAGAACCGAGTGAGAGAACGACACGCGCGACTATCACGGAAATGTGATGTGATTAGATATCTGGCCAGAGTTCCAACCTTTGTTCCCTTTGTTCTCAATGCATGCACCCCAGTGCCGTGGCAAGTGTTATGGGAAGTGTCGGTCATCCGCCACGAACCCGCACCCACCGCACTTGCTCCCAGTGACATCAATACCGCCTCGTGAATTGCATGCCATTGCCCATCATCCAAACTTTACAACATGCCGACGTACTTAGCGCATTTGTCCTTCATGTCTTTCCCGTTGTGTTGCTTCGTAGTATCACCCCAGTGCTCCTTGGAGAAATGATGGATGGGTTTTGACGAGAGTACCAGCTCGCCGGTGCACCATGCCCGAAGGGCGCGCTCGACCTGGCAGTACACAC